ATGAAAAAATTTTTGTTATTTGTTTTTTTAAAATTTTATATGCATGCAAATGGTAGTTGAAAAAAAATCCCCCAAAAACGATGGGTCCACGTTGTTGATGAAATCTCTGACATGGATTGTCCGAAACCAAAAAATCAAAAAGTTTTGGATTCAGTGTGGTAATAGCTATTGCGCATATCAAGGGATTTTTTATTTTTGCAAAATTGACAAAATGGCGGACATTTTTCGAAAAATTAAAGAAAACCGTGTGTTAGTTTTTTTGAAAAATGTCCGCCATTTTGTCAATTTTGCAAAAATAAAAAATCCCTTGATATGCGCAATAGCTATTACCACACTGAATCCAAAACTTTTTGATTTTTTGGTTTCGGACAATCCATGTCAGAGATTTCATCAACAGCGTGGACCCATCGTTTTTGGGGGATTTTTTTTCAACTACCATTTGCATGCATATAAAATTTTAAAAAAACAAATAACAAAAATTTTTTCATGTATTTTGGAAGTGTATTTCTTTAGTCTAACAACTTATATGTCAATATTTATAATATAAACCAATTAGAAAAATTCTTAAAAACAGCCTTCATTTTATCGCGTCTAAAGTGGGTAGACCCCTTAATCAATCGCAAATTTTCTCGAATCACAACTAAATCAGACGCACACCCGAATTGTTCCCCACTTTTGTTGGAACACGAAAAACCTAGAAATCGATTTAGAAAATCAGTAAATATTCGACTCAATAGCGTCACCTCTAAACTCATCGATACACCCTGCCGATGGTTGTCCGCTACCAAGAGTAGTGTAAATTCTTGGTAGACTTTGTCGTGGTGGTGGGGCTTTTCACTAAAGGACTTCCAAAAACCAAGATGTAATGAGGGGGGAAATTTATATATGGAAAGCAAAGGATTCAATAAGGACGTTTACGGTGCAGGGAGGGATACCATAGTGTCGGCGCTGCTGGAGGTAAGCAAGTTGACTTTCCAGCTTCAAAATTCAGTGATAACAGTTCGGAAGTATTGGACACCGTGAGTACTGCAGCATTTAATGCCACGAGGAGGATGGACCATGGAGGCACCCAGTTTCTTAAGATTCCCCAGGTTTGTTTGGAAAGACTTGGAAGTAGAAGAGGAAGTGCTTTAAGCGTTTTTAGTGTCAGCAACGGAAAAAGTTTGATTCCGTCTGATCTAAACAACGAGGCCATAAACGAGGAACGCGAATTATGCGTCAGTTTTAGTAAGGAAGAATCTGAGTTCCTTTTGAGGATCGAAGAGGAGGTCGTCAAGATGGTGAAATCTTGCGATATCCAGAAGAACGTTAATCAAACGATCAAGGATGGATTAAAGGTTCTTCATGACCTTGTAAATCTACCGAAGCAGAAGCACGCAGAAGCTGATAAAGGAGATGTGATGGAGGCAGTTCAGAAGAGTCAAAACCCGAATTAAACTCCGCTTTAGGCTGTGCAGCATGCAACCCTGAGGACCGGACTAATAAGATAGAGCGTATCCATGAGAATCGTCTCAATGGAGGCGCAAAAAAAACGAAGTACCAGCAGTTCAGAAGAGACAAAAGCCGAAGTAAAAAAAGAAAAATGAGGAAGCACCTCCATAGAGGAAGGATGCCAAGGTGACGGACGCACCGAAGCCGAAGCAGTCCAACAAGACGAAGGATTCAAGAGAATCAACAGTGGTCGTCCGAGTAGCTTTAGGTAAAACGTATGCTGATGTGTTGTGATGACGGATGTAAAATTAATTCAACAATAATAATTTTTTTTAATCCTTGCAATATGGAAAAAATGATATGGATCAAAATATAAAGTGCAAATTATAAAAATCATTAAACTTATCGTTTCGTGGTGATGGATGAAGAAGAAAACGGAAGTTCGCTATTCAAACATCGTCTGAAAATTCATAGATTGAGGAGAATATTTGCTTCTCAATGTAATTCATTTACATTTTTCTTTTCGCCCAATTTAGTTAAATTACTTAATAAAAACCAAAACTTCATTTACAGTGTAATATCAAATTGAAAACCCTTCATAAAAAAAGAACTCCATTGCAAAATCTATATATGTCGTAAACTTAAAAACAGACGAATGAATAGTTTTCTCGCCACTTCCCACTTGTCACACCAATGGAATGGAATAATGAAAAGGAAAAGAGAAAATTCACAATCATACCCTCTTTTCTCTTTAAGTTTCTCGCATGAATAAAACTCTCAAGTTGCAATGAAACTTAAGGGTGAGAGAGAGGGAGGGGGGGGGGTGGCAGCAAAAGCGATCATAAATGGCAAGCAGTTCGCTTGCTGGAGTCGTTTCATAAAAAGTCGCCAGAAGAAAGAATTGCACATTTGTGTATCCGATTACGAACGCGAAAGGAGTTCTTGGTTATAGCCTTTACGAGTTCATCGAAGCCATCCCCTTCGCTTCGTAAATCTAAGTGCGCATTTATTCACCCATTGTCCTTCTTTCTCAAAAGAATTGCCAACACTCTCTTTTCTTCGTCATAATATTGTTCTTCCACTCAATGAGCAAATTTTATGCAATTGAAATAATGATATTTTGACATTTTTCTCAACTTGAATTTTACAATTGAACGTTTTACAATATCTGCATTAATTTGATTTTTTGCAAAAAAAAAAGTTCTAATGGACACAAATTATCTCCGTGAATTTTTATGAAAAAAATGATTATCACTTTTTTGTGTTCTTTATCTCTCGTAATAGTTAAAAAAATTTCGTAATAATGATATTCTGAGAATTATTGCCGGATGTCATCAAAGAAAATAGAAGTTAGAGTCTATGACTCGTTTTGAAAATTCAATGGGTATGGGGAAGGTTGGGGGCGCGAACATGTGATTCCTGACTTTAGTGAGCAATGGCACAAACTATTTCCGAGTCCCTGGAGAAATTATCCTCTTCTAAAAGCCACTTCTTTTCTCTTTCTTTGAAACTCACCAACGATTCAGCCAATTATTCCTGCAATCTTTTCACGGATTTTACGACATAAGCCAATTTATGTTTGAAGATGATATATTTATTTATAAAAACGTTTGAATATAAAACTTTCGTTTTTAGGTACAAATTTTCAATATATATATGAAGGGTAGAATGACAAAAGGGGTCAAGCGCCAATTCACTGTTTTTACAGGAAGTAAAAAAAACATTTTTAAAAATTTTGCAGGTCATTTAAAAAAAAACTGAGAAAACCGTTTCGATATATTAGTATGTTTTAATAAATAAACAACAATTTGTTGAAATAAACCTACATATTAACGATAAAATTAAAAAAAACTGTGGTTCCTTGAGGTTATATCAACTGTGCACATTTTCTTTAAACATTAATTATAAAAAAAATATACAGTTTAAAGAAAAACTGGAAAATTAGTTTCTTTCTATGGAATCGACGAAAAGAATAGAAAAAAAAATTCCTTTAAAAAATTGTTTGTTTTCAAGAAAATTAAGAATTAATTGCTTGCTTTGGAATTGAGCAATACTTTCATCTTTAAATTCAATTGTTCACTTAGTATAACCATAAAAATATTTAAAAATTAATAACAAAATGATTTTAAAATTGTTTAAAATTGAAAATACATTATTATTATTATTAATTTTATTAATTAAAATATTATTAAAATAAAATTAAAATAAAATATTAAAATAAAACATAAAAAAATAATTTTTTTTTTTATTTTGATAATATTATTGACTCACCACTTTCTTTTGTTTTTCAATCAGGTTGCAATAAAGTAAATTTGAGGCTATTTTATTAATTTAATTTTTATTAAAAACTGATTTAAATACGCAATAAAAAAGGAAATCCTTCTACAGAAATGTGTAAATGAATTTTCTTGATTTTTTTATGCAAAAACCTCATTTTCGATAAATTGGCGCTTGACCCCTTTTGTCATTCTACCCTTCATATATATATTTAAATCTCAATTCACAAAATAAGTCATTGCAATTATTTCATTTGATGAGAATTTTATTCTCAATTCCCTGCTACAATCGTTCGTTCCCCTTTTCAATTAGGGACATAGATTTCTTTTAATATGGAATTAATTAACATGCAAATTAAGACTTAACTTTGTTCTCAATCTTGGTTTTAGTTAAATTACCTGAATCTAAAGAAAGATACAATATAATTAATTGAAAGCTTTTCTCTTTAATAAAAATTAGATCATTATAAATAAGTCACGTAATAATTGAATTATTTAATTTTAAATAATGTAAATTATTTTGTATTGCAAATTTTTTTGATCGTAATTGAGAGACTGAAATGTTGAACATTTATTGTTTTTTTTTTTGAATTTAAGATCAGATAAATCTGACTCTCTCTTTCTCGCGCTAGTAAAGAGGGAACGAGCCCAAACGAACCTCATGAAGACCCACAAGTTGAGATGATACCTTGATTACTTAGGCGCTAGAAGTATTGATTTCATAGGGTCGACGCGATTCACGGGTTTCCGCCCATTTAAGCGTTCGGTCACACGATAAGATGCTCGACGAAGGAAAAATGAGCAAAGATCATCCAGACTTATTCCCATAACATCCTTCTGATACGATCATAAAACAGGAATTCCTCTCATATATTCTTCTTCTTTCTTTCGCCAAGTGAAGATTCATCTCTCAAGGGAGCAACATTCTCACAAGAGAAGAAAAGTTGACTTTGCAAATATGCAATATGCCAAATGTTATAAGAAAACTTTTCACTATGATAAACAATTGTTTTCTTGAAAATTTTTCACTACTACATTTATTTATTTTCTAAATTAATGTACAACTATTTTTATCTAGACGAAAAGATTCAATCTATTATTGCATTAGTTTGTAAAATTAAGATTTGTTCATTTTCGTAATGTATTTTGTTTATTTGGAAATTAAGAAGAAAGTTTGAACAACTTTTAGTGAGAGAGAGAGAGAGAGAGAGAGTTTAGAGAGATTTACGTACACTGAAGTTAGATAAATTTATTTTGGAATAGAAGTAGAAAGAATGTTTATTTGATTTTCAGGTTTAATTAAACTCCGAGAACTTGCACGATCTCCAAAATTAAAGGATATCGAAATTTACATGAGGCAAGCCGATCCTGGGACTTACAAACAAATTTTAACTGAGGCAAAAAGCAAGGAAATCAGAAATTTAATTGTTGATACAAAACCAAAAAATATGCATCTTTTTTTAAAAATGGTAAGTTAAATTAAAGAATTAACAATAAATATTTATTAACACTGTAATTGGATAATTTTTCCAGGTTCTGGAATTACAAATGAATGATTTTAAATATCACTATCTGTTTACAACTTTTGTAAGTATTTTCGTTATTAAATATTTAAATTTTAATTCTCGTAATTCTAATTTTTAAATTAATTTTGTAATTACTAATTAAGAAATTGTATTACTATATAGAGTTTAAATATTAAATAATTTTGTAATTATATATAAAGTGGAACTTATTTTCAAGTTTTTACATAATAAAATTATATTGAATTTAAATAACAGTAAAAATTTTTACAGGATATCGAGACTTTTGATCTGGAAGATTTCAAATACAATTTCGTGAACATCACTGCCTTTCGATTGGTCGATGCGGACGACAATGTCGTACGAGGAATTCTTAAAGATATGGAACGCTTTCAGCCAGCTGGAAACACGATACTAAATAAGTCACGAATTATTCAGGTAAGATTTTTAGATACTTTAAGGGGGTATATCCATTCATGAGGGTAAAAAAAGAGAAGCTTTTTCTCAATTTTTTTTTTTTTGAAAAATAACGGTTGAATATATTTATTTAAAAAGTTTTGCATATTTAGTATAATTTAAAGGATAACTGTGTAACAAATATTTTACATTCACAATATACAAAAATTTAGTTTGGGGAATTCAAGACAAAATTTCAAGTAAAAAAAATAAAGCATAGAGTATTAAATTCCAAATAATAGCGATATATTTGTAAAAGATCCGTGAATTAAATTCAATAATATAAATTAAAGTAAACACCTGTAAATCGTACGCAGGTCAAGACACAATAAAATGTAGTTAAAATAATAATTAAAGAATAGGTCTCATAAAAATAAATTAAATCAATAAGAATTCAAAAGTGATTTGATCTCGCTACCTCGTCGCAAAGGACCCCGCACAAAATGCATTGATTTTGGTTCTCGGTCAAAATGGCTGGTTTTTGGATATGTTGTAGTTTTAGTCATTCTGAATAAATGTTTCCTCTATCAAAATTAAAAAAAAATGATAACTTTTAATGTTATCAGCCATAAAAGGTTAAAAACTCGTGCGGTATGGTTCATATAAAAACATACAACAAGAACGAAAAAAACAGATACAAGTTCTTTTTGTTATTATCATTTATTGATTCATATCCATAGGTTAAATCTATTTTAACATGACTCGCGAGGTTGCGGTATGCCAAAATGATCCCTTCCCTTTCACAAATGACTTTTACATGTAGGAAATGGAGAATATTTATAATATATATGAAGAATAGAATCATGCAACAAAGTTACGAAATGAAATAATTTATAATGAAGACATAATTACTGAAATTTATGGAAATGTTATAGATACAGATGAAGGTGACTTACATGAAAAAGTAATATTAGTCTCACAAAATAATGATGTATTTGAATTAAATAACGAAATTCTTGAAAGAATTAATAGTGAAGTTAAGGAATATTTAAGTGTGGATTCATGTGGAGAAAGCGAAGATAATGACACATTAAATACAATAGTACCAACTGAAGTTTTAAACAGCTTAACCCCAAATAGACTTTTTGAACTTAAGGGTTTTATTATAAAAAAAATTACTAAAATCACTTTAAAAAGATAAAATCAATGAATTGATTTATTTGTTTCTGACAAAAAATGAGATAAGGTTTTCTCTTAATAGTCCTGACATTTTGATGAAAACATTGAATGATACATTCAGACATGCAGAAAATATTGTTCCCTTTTCCTAGTAATTATTTTCTCGTGGAAGAATGACCTCGTTGACACTATTTTCCAGTATCGAAGCTCCATTTATTACACGACAGTAAACGAATGCGATGAACGACTGCTAAAATAAGTCTTTGAATTACTGAACACTATTTGTAGTAGAAAAATTGCTAGAATAATTATAAACAATATTGTATACTCATTTCTTGAACTAATATTCTCAATATTCATTTAGTTTTTTTTTATATATATTCAATCCACCTTTACAATTGTCAATTTCGTGAATTCATTTTAAATAGAAAATTTTACGGATGATAACGTCCACGCCAATTATCATGGAACTTCCTCTCTTTCTCCCCTTACTAATACTCTGAATGGTAATTAAGGGCATTGGTGCGAAAGATGATTACTCCCGAGGCGTTAGTCACTTTGCAGTATCTATATATATATATATATATAATATTTACTTTCCCGTGCGACATATTATATAGTTATAGGAATTAGAAAATTAATTTTGTGTCATATATAAAATTAATTTAAGTTGCTCTCAAGTTTCACGTTACTTTAATTTATTCCTCTTATTAACTGTTTTTCACTTTATATCAGAGAGTCTATGTCGATTAAGTTTTCAGCTAGAAACTTTCGTTTTCAGGGAAATTATTCAAGAGACAAGATAATGTTTCTCGGTAGAATATTATTATAAAATGTATATATAATTACTAAATTATAAGAGGCAAGGATCCTTATAAATCAAAATACGTTAAAATTATTTCCTCCGTCTTGAGAAATTATAAGGAGAAATTCTAAAGTGTTGAGAATTGTTGTGTAAAATGCTTAGTTGATCATGCATCGATAAAGTTTCTTTCGTTTCATAGGAACAAAGTACAAGATGTATAGCAGAGTAATTAAGCGAGGACTTCATTGTTTTAAATATCTTCTTTAATACTATCTCTGTCGTCTTTCTTCTCGCTAGTTCTATATCTTCTTTGCGACTAGTTTATCTTGCACCAGTAGACATCCCATGAATTGTAAATCACTTGATCTCTTAACTTTTTTAATACTTTTCCCTCGACACGGTAAAGCAAATAAAAAGATTTTTTTATTGTGTTTTTAGAAAATATATTCCTTTTCTTTTGAATTGGAAATTATTTTTTTTTGTAGTTTAATAGTTAAGAGATTTATTTTTACAGTTTGGAAATTATTCTTTGGAACATTTATATTTTATAAAGGAATAGTTGAATTGAAAAAATCGAGCAAATATATGCGGCACAAAAAACAGTTTTTAAATAAATGCATCATCAGCATTTTTTATTCAATAGTAAAGAGGCAAACTCTGCACTTTCTCTGGTTCCTTTTCAAATCCTCACTCTCTAAAGCTCACCTTCTCTCTCTCTCGTTCCAATTGCCCTGTTGTATTAAACGTCGAAGTTAGCCGCGAGAGACCGTAGAAAAAGCTCAGTCACAATCAACGTCACAGACAGACGGAAACGGAAGTAACAGAACGAGAGCAAGAGAGAGAAAAGGGTGGTAAAAAAAAAAGTTTACCCTCTGTATGTTACTTGCTCTTCCTCATACTCTCTTTTCATCTTGTATGCGAAGGAAAAACAAGGTCAGTTTTTCATGAGATGTGCACAGGTAACCCTGAGAGTTGTAAAAAATAAAGTCGTAAAAAAATAGTGATATGGAAAATGGTAGAAAAATAATAGTTGAATATAAAAAACAAAGGATAAACATATTTATGATTTCACATGGAAAGGCTTTTTGATATTATATCTGTTGACAATATTAAATATATAAAAACAAATAAGTGAGCTGTAAAAAAATTGGAGTTATATTTTAACTCCCAATGGAATTTCATAAAAGTTGAACTCTTTTAGGAGTCGATGCTAAGCTTTTATTATTTTTATGTTAACTTCAGGAAGGAAAGGAGGAGATTATTTAGACGTGCCAGACAAAAACTTACGGTTGAAGGTTGAACGGCATATTCTAAAATGAGGGACGACGATAGAAATTAAACTGAGGAAGGTACAACAGAATAGATGGACAGCCTTTTGTTTTAGCATCAATAAAGCAAAAGTGTCAAGGAGATTAGATAATGCTTTCTGAGAAACCAAAAGCAGTGCCTGACGTAAGATTTGCTACCTCAAGATCAGCATTATTTACTTAAATATAGAGATTGAAAAAAGTGTTCTTAAATATTTATTATTGGTATTTTTCCTAAATTAAATCCTATTTATGAATTAATCTATGGGATATAAAAGAATGTTTCTTTCTTTGTTTAGACTTCGATAATTTTTAATTCTTACAACACATTCAAAATAGTATCTCAGGGAAGGGGGAAAAAATTTTTTTTTATCTCAAATTGATTCATTTAGTATTAACATTATCGAAGTGGATATTTTCAATTTTGTAAAAATTAATTCCTTAATAGAATTTTTGATTAATTTAAGGCATGTTTATACAGTCAAACCTCAAGGAAAACTCAACTGCAGATGAATTCAACAAGATGAAAGCGTTAATAAAGAGAGAAAATAGAAAAGAATTAGGAGAAAATAAAAATGTTGGTTAGATGCGAATAGACAGAATAGGAGAAAATGTGAGAAGGTTGAGCGGGAAGGAAGGTTGAAAAGAAAAAAGAAATATACGACAGACCTTGTTACACCAGCATGGAAAAACCCCAGTTGCATACTGATTACTCAACCTCTTTTTCTTCTCTTTTACTCTCTCTCACTCTTTGACTTCCTGTTTTTTATTCTGCTTCTTCCTTCTTTAAATGCTGGTAGGTACCTTTCCTTTGAATTTCCATTCTTTCATTTTCAATCTCTATATTTAAATTTTCTATATTAAATAAATTTCTCCTTTTTAAAAATCAATAATTCCAATCATTATAACTCAAAAAAAAAAAAAAAAAACACATGCAATATAAATCTCTAAGATCAAATTTTTATCTCGATTAATTAAAATAATAATGTACATTGAAAACGATTTTAAATTGGTCGTTTTGTCAAAAAAGAAAAAAATTCGGTTTCTTTTAATACTTACAGAACTCAATTTATAATAGTTCCAGTTGATTTTCCCTTTTGGGCTCTTAGGTGCGCGCAGTTAAGGCAGATAATTAGAGGAGTTTTTCAAAGAGATAAAGCAGAGACGGATGCACATTCTGGATGAAAATCCTGAATGTGCAAGGATTTTGCAAGCCACTGGTAGACTAGCCAATGAATCACTGAATTTACCCAAGCACGGTGGATAACCTCTGCTGTTTGCGCCATAAATCAGGCTATATCTCTCACTCTAATATGGGTCTTATTTTTTCTCTTTCTCTCTCTTGGCAATAAAAGTAGTAAGGGAATCGTCACGATTCTCGACAGGCAAAGCACTACTTCAACTAAAACTTGTTTCTTTTTGTTGTGGGTTTTCAAAAAATAAAATTCTCATCTAGACTTGCAGCAATATACAGAAAATATTTTTAAGATTCATCAATTTTAATGTTTATAAAATTTTTAATATTTTAACGAAAGAGATTCGAAAATGTATTTTTTATTCATAGAGTAGAGGAATTAGTACGCCGCAGACAGTGTCCAATGACCTTGGAGTACATCAGCAACTCCAGATGGATACGAATATTTTTGTTAATTTACAAAAATATTAAATAGTTATTATTGGTATTTTTCCTAAATCTTCTAGTAACACAATCTAATTTTTCTCTAAAAATGTAATTCCTCAGTTGGTTGCAA